TAATTTTTATTCATAGCACTCTTCACTCCCTATACGTTTCAGATTTATTTTTTTGTCATATGCCTCACTTGAATATATGCACATATTCAAGAAGGCAGAAAACTTTTCCATTTTATTCACTGATATGTTTTCAAGACCTAGAACACTATCCAGCATATGTAAATGCTCAAAACGACTTGCTGATTGAATGAATAAATGAAAACCTCACACACACTATGTGTGAGCCATATAAATTTATCTGCAGTCCTCAAATAGCACCTTCTTTTGCATGTGCGGTTTTCCACTGCAGGGAAAAATTTCTTCCTGATTCACTCACAGTTCCTAATCATTATTCAAGACTCAGCTTACTGTTACTGCCCCTGAGAAACTTTCATTGATTCCTCTAGGAAAAACCAGGTATCCTTTTTCTTTGTTCTTATAGTACTCTATGCATACATTGATGTATTACTTAATACATTGTGTTAATATTTTGTCTAACTGATCTCTGTATCTTGGGAATCTATCAGAGTGCTCTGCCCATAGAAAATTCTGAGTAAAAATATTTGTTGACTGATTTTGTTTATTGAGTGACAACTGTGTACTAGTTTTTTATGTACATTATTTTAATTCTGACAGTAAATATGTGCGATATTATCCTTGTTTTCTGTATGAGAAACTGAGTAAATTGTGCAGAGTTTTAAACCTAAGTGTGTCTGGCTCTAAATCCAGAACTTCTCCCATCGCCTCAAATGAATTAATAAATCTCCTTCATTTTACTGATGCTTAGCTGTCGAAATCCAATATCCTAATTTTGTCATTAACATTAAAACTCTGATGTTATTTTAGTTCAATGTTGCATATTCTAATACTTGATTTAATTGATTCAGCCTCTGTAGGTTACAGAAAAGAATAGACCACAGACATCTTAATGACTCAGGTATCCTTTTATTCTGCTTCATAATTAGAGTTTCTGATGATGATTCAGGGTCAAGATCTGGTTAATCTTCTCTTTTAAGGGAAGGATTATATTTAACAACTAGTCTACACATCATCTTTCAACAGGTATAGAAGTTCCAAATAAATTGTAAGTCATATTGAAATTGTAAAATTAATATACCTCAAAGACAGGAAAGTGTGACAGGAGTGAGTTAAAGATAGTAAGAGAGCCTCTGTGTATGTGAGAGAACCTGGAGGTTACCCTGATTAATGTCTTTTCAGCATGCTAGGTGAAGCAGTGTGTATTAAATGCCATATGGAAGTTTATAAAAATTCAGACATACATAATCTAGTATCATGAGACATTCAAGCAGTGAGAGCCTAGACTCTAAAGTCAGACAGACCTGAGATCTAATTCTAGCTCCCTCACCTAATAGCTGAGCAAATCTAAGCAGGTTGCTTAACTTTTCCCAAGCCTCAATTTCTTCACCAGTAAAATGGAGAGAGAAGAAGCATATTAGGCAGGGTAGCTAATTTCAGAGGCATAATTTAATAAAACAAGCCAAATCCAACACAGGTTCTTCCTGGTCAAGCAGTTCTCCTGGGCAGCATTCCTCCAAGGATTAATTTGGGGCCCCAGATTCTTCCGTTTTGTGATTCCGACCTCCTCTAAATTCTTTGGAATCTTCATTCAGTGGATAGGTAGAGAAAAAAGAGAACGCGGAGAGCATATAGTGTTTTTAGAGATTTTGTGGGCCAAGCTTTAAATGGCTTATCATTTCTGTCCACATTCTGTTGGACAGAAATTAGTCGCATAACCCAAATTAATTACAAAGGAGGCTGGGAAATTCAGTTTGTATGTTTGGGAGAAAAGAAAACAGAGTTAAGTGAACACCAAGGTGCCTCTGTTACTTAATGTCACGAAGTATATTAGGGTTTAACTGAGGTAATGCATGTAATGTGTTTAGCACAGGATAAGTAATCAACAAAGTTACATGTTGTTATTATAAGTATGTATGCTGAGGGTCTGAATAAGGATCCTACAGTTAGAAGTGAAGTACTTGCTTTGAGCTTCCAGAAAGAGAACTCAGCCACATTCAAAGAAATATTATTACCTTTTTGCAAGGTTATATAAGATTATGATCTTTAACTGATTTGGCAGCATCGATAAGTATAAACATAGAAAGGTGAGGGCAAAGAAGGTTGCCAGGTGTTCATATTAGCTTAGCTAACAGAATGTCAAAAGATTATAATTTAATAATTATAATTTAAAAGATAACATTAATGTTTAAGAAGAGTGGGAATAGGGAACTAACTGTAGGTTCATTGGCCTGGGAAAGGGCTTAAGTAATAAGGAATAAAAATTCTAGTCAATCCTTTCTTCCATATTCTTTTTCTCTCTTACTTTCAAGTCATAGACATCATCAAGGTTCTTCAGGTGCAGCATATTTTCTTGTCCTCTGTTGTCAATTAAAATATTGTAAGACTCAGAGAACAGAGACCATGTTTGTCCCACACATTATTATGTGCCTAGAATAGAATGTGTAGGCAAGAAGTATTTGTTGAATGAATTTAACCTACATTGGCAGTTGCTTAAAGTCTTGCCTAAAGGGTCTAGGTCAGTAGTCCCCAACCTTTTTGGCACCAGGGACAGGTGCTCCTATGAGAATCTAATGCCTGATGATCTGAGGTGGAGATGAGGCAGTGATGCTAGCACACTGGGGAGCGGCTGCAAATACAGATGAAGCTTTGCTCATTTGCTTGCTGCTCACCTCCTGCTGTGAAGCTTGGGTTAGGGACCTTTGGTCTAGGTAAAGTAACAGAAAGACAATGAGTTTTTAAATCTTGCTTCTGCTACTTTAATAACTGTGGGATTCTGGGCTTTCTAAAGCTTAACCTGTAAGACTTATTTTTTCCCCTTTTATTAAAGAGGTATAATACTTTCAGAGTTACAGTAATAAGAATTAAATGAAAAACTTTATGTATGTAGTGTTCCCAGCAAATAGTTCCCATCAAAGAACTGTTGCACCTTCCCCCTAAACCGTATACCTATTTTAATTTGAGGAACCTAGAAAATATCACGTGCTATTCAAGTCTTTCCTTCCTTCTGTTTTTGGTTCTGTTCATTTGTAATTAAAACAAATAGGCTCTAAGTTCGTGATCAAAGTTAAGAGCTGATTAGTTCCCAAAGCACTGACAGGTTCACCATTAGAACAGTAATCAGCACCTAGAACAGTGCCTAATACATAGCAGGTGTTCAATACAAATTTTTTGAAATAGTGAATGAATTAATAAAGTACTGAAATAAAGATGATGCTCCAGGCAGATAATTATGGGATGGACATGATATAAGTGTGAAAAAGTGAGCAGATTTTATATCAAATGAGAGGTTTGGAGTGGTGTTTCCAAATGGGTGACTTCAAAATGTTTTCATTTATTCATTCAACCAGCATTTTCCCTAAGAATGAAATATTCAGCTATTGATAGCCAAACACCTTGCTCATGTGGACCTCCTCAGGGGGTTTACCAGTACAACTCAGGCCAACTGTGACTTATTCAGTGGAATCCGTAGAAGAGTAACAAGGATGGCTGACATGTCTTTAGAATTGGGTAATTCAACTGCCTGAAAATGGTGCAGCAAACTGGACACCAAACCTCAGGTGGACTGCAGATGCACTGAAGGAAGTCATTACAGTTTTGTGAAATTTGGGGCTGGCTTGACAAAGATGAAGCCTGCTGGTTTAAGAACTGTATGTTCTTGGCAAAAGCGTGGTGTTGCAGAATTTCACCAGCTATAGTGGAAAAAAAAGGGGAGAAAGAGAATGGGAGGAGACCACAAAATCCATGATATGATACATAAAATGTTAACTATTAGCTTTGCATCTTTTGAGTCACCAGATTGAAGCACAGTATTTTAGATTTGGCTGGCAGATGGTGTACACAGACTTTCTGAGGATGTTAGCATTTCATTCGAAACTAGCAAGACTACATAGGACTATCATGGTAATTTAACTTCATAGAGGTTTTAAAACTTATCTCAAAACCTGGGTTAAATGTGGAGCTCTAATAACATTTTAAAAGTCTTTGTTAATAGATCTGGATCTCATAGAACAGATTCACAGGACATAATAAGTCCTCAAAAATGCTTACAGAGTCATGTCAATGTCTTCTTTCCCTGAAAATCTGGTTTACACAAGAGTATAGGGAAGAAAGACTAAACCAGAGCAGATGGCAGGTAGTGATGCTTCAATTTTTTGAATGGGAATTCTTAATTTACCACTCTGCTCACTTCCCTCTATGGTCTGGACCTTTAATCACATCAGCCAGCCTGTTGGGTTCAAGCTAATCTCTGGTTGATATCGTCCTAATACTTCCCTTTTCAAATTCCAGTGAAACTATGTGTTTCCTGTTCTGTTCGACACCCTAGAGAAAGAACACTGGCTGGTTAATAGCTAAATTTAGATTGGCAGCAATGTGTCCAGTTTTCAAAGAGATAAACAAAAACAGGTGACATTTCCAAGCCTCTCAGGAAAACAGGGTGAAAAAACTCAACCCTTCTGGGGTAAGTATGCAGGGAGAGCTTCTAGAGTTCCACAATAGGGAGAGGCCTGCTGGCAGGCTCAGAAAATGGGCCGACTGAAGCCTTTTCCTTTTCTTTAAAGCCAGGATGGCCTTTCGGGCACACCTAAACACATTTTTGATTCTGCTAGGAAAGCCCGGGGAGCTGGCGCTCTGACACCCCGTTCCTCAAGGGGAGCTTTGAAGGCATCTGCACCTCTTTGTTAAGACATAGGTTTCAACCGTAGGCACTAGGACAACCTTGGGGTGGGGTGGGAGAGGGGAGAAGCCGGATGCCCCGCCCCCAGCGCGCCAGACTCCCCGCCCCGCCTACTCTCTGTGACCCTCCCCCGCCGGCTCAGCCTTGGGCGACCTGTTGGCAAGCAGAGTCACGTGACGCGGCCGGCCGCGCACTGCCCCGCCTCGGGC